CTGGGGAGGTCTGGAGGGGGGTTGTGGGGGAGGTCAGGCACATCTTAGAATCTCTTTTCTGGAGTTGTGGGATGAAAACCTTCCCCCTTCATCGCCCCCAGGAAGAGCTGGACCCCGCAGGGATGATGGTGGAGACTTGGTGGGGGGGAGGAGATGAAGGGGTGGGGGGTAAATTGGGGGATTCCTCCCCCCACCTCTGGGATTCCCATGGGATTTCAGAGCCTGGGGAGGGGGACACTGAATTTCACTGAATTTTTAGAGTTGGAAGGGACCATAGAGATCATCTAGTGCAACTCCCCTGCCAAAGCAGGACCACCCAGAGCTTGTCAGAGCATGTTACTCAGGAGCATCCAGGTGGGGCTTGAAAATCTCCAGAGAAGGGGACTCCACAACCTCCCTGGGCAGCCTGTTCCAGGGCTCTGTCACCCTCACCGTGAAAAAGTTCTTCCTCATATTCAAGTGGAACCCTTTATGTTCCAACTTGTGCCCATTGCCCCTTGTCCTCTCACTGGGAACCACTGAAAAGAGTCTGGCTCCCTCCTCCTTCAACCCTCCCTTGAGATACTTGTAGGCATTGATAAGGTCTCCCCTCAGCCTTCTCTTCTCCAGACTAAAGAGTCCCAGCTCTCTCAGCCTCTCCTCATAAGGGAGATGCTCCAATCCTTGAATCATCTTTGTTGCCCTTTGCTGGACTCTTTCCAGTAGTTCCCTGTCCCTCTTGAACTGGGGAGCCCAGAACTGGACGCAGGATTCCAGTTGTGGCCTCACCAGTGCAGAGTAGAGGGGCAGAATGACTTCCCTTGACCTGCTGGCCACACTCTTCCCTATGCAGCCCAAGATACCATTGGCCTTCCTGGCCACAAGAGCACACTGCTTGCTCATTGTCATTTTACTGTCCACCAGGACCCCTAGATCTTTCTCTTCAGAGGTTGCCTCCAGCAGGTCCACCCCTAACCTGTATTGGTGCCTGATGTTCTTCTTCCCCAGGTGCAGGATCCTACACTTTTCCCTGTTGAACCTCATGAGGTTCTTCCTTGCCCAGCCCTCCAGCCTGTCCAAGTCTTGCTGGATGGCAGCACAGCCCTCCGGGGTGTCAACCACCCCTCCCAGTTTGGTACCATCAGCAAACTTGCTGAGGATACACTCTGTCCCCTCATCCAGGTCTGGACCAAGTATTGACCCTTGGGGGCCACCACTGGTTACAGGCCTCCAGCTTGAACCTGCTCCATTAATCATTCCCCTTTGGGTCCTGTCGCACAGCTTCGAAGAAGCATCTTCTGGACCAGAGCAACTACCCGCTCCGTGTTCCCCTGCCAGGCACCAGGGATGTCCCCCCACCCCCTAAAGTAGGGTGACACCAATCGGGACCCTAAAAACGAGGCTTTCCAGCACCGAATTCCCCCCCATTTTCACTTTTGCCCCCCCAAATTTTACTGCTTTCACCCCCCCTGACTCCAGGCGAGGCCGGTGCTCACTCTCCTGGTCACCCTGTTGTCCCCGTTGGAGAGGTGATGACCAGAAGGTGACAGGGATGAACCAGGGTGTCCCCACCCCCCACCCCCGAAGCCCATCCATCCATCAACGAGGATGTTTTAATTGGGATAATGAGGTTATTTGGGGGGGATTTTTGGGAAGGGGATGGGATTGGGGGGGGCTCTTTGCAATTAAATGTGTCAGAACGAAGCCAGCGTGGTCTCGTCCTTCACCTCAGGGTGGGGGAGGGAGGTAAAAACCCACCACGGTCTTATTTTTACCCGTTTTCCCCCTAAAAAAACCCCTCCGTGGGTGGGATAACCCTCCCAAATCTCCCCCCTGCAGTTCCCGCTATGCCCGGCAGGTGGCGCTGCCCGCGGCGGTGAATGGGGAGGGGGGGCGCGGCGCTGACGCACGAGGGGGGCGTGGCCCCGGAGAGTGACGTCAGGGAAAAGGGGCGGGGCGTAGGGGGGGCAGGAGGCGCCGCGG